ATTGTTGTTTGGCGGGTCCGGGCTGGGGACTCGAACCCGCCACATTAGGTGTACGTGGCTGGCGCCTTAGCCAGTTGAGCTGTAGGCGCCGAGCCAAACTCTGGTCTTTATGATTCCAGAAGTCGTCATTCACCAAAAGGATAAGATTTAATTTCCATTCATCCATTCATTCATTCTCCTGCCAAGGATTTAAGCATTTATTGCGTAGCACAGTGACCATAGTACAACCACCACTCTGGATGGCATAGCACTCCCGGGAAGACCAACTGGACGGTTGGACTTCAGACACTGAAAGAGTGGGGTTTCTGGCCCACACCTCCAGGGAATTCGGCTGCGGCTGCCTCCTAGTTACGGCTTCAGCTGAGGAGGCATGGCCAGATCGAGGTTGGAGTCCGGTCGAAGACAGAGATATTACCAATATTGGCTGAGAGAGGGCGCAGTCCCGGAGCTAAAAGCTTGCCCTGGAGACCCTCTGCGCGCCATCAGGCCATTGGCGCGCAGGCGCAGAGGACCCAAGCAGCAGCTTAATAATGCTTCGGAGAGAGGTAAGTGGAAAGGAGGGGGCGTGACTGAGAAAGAAACGCAAACACCGAGGCGAGACTCAACCAAGTCCCCCTCGCCTATTTGCCACTGCCGGTAAAGGCGTGGCCTGCGTGCCCCCTTCTGGAGACGAGGGAGGGCTAAATCTAGTTTTTCCTCGGCGTCTGAGGCGTTGCTTAAAGCAGGACCTCGAATCTCCCATCAGCGATTGGCTGCCTCACCTAGGGGGCATGGCCAAGCGGGCCGTGCGGTCACTTCCTGTGGAGTTTCCCCAACCCTGGGAGGAGGGGCAAGAGGACGAGAAAGAGGAGGGCGGTCGTCCGGGGTTAGGTTGGGGAGGGGGGGGTTGTCCGTCCATTCAGGGCGGGGGATGACTCACGGCCCATCCCATCTCCCCAACGCCTCCCGCCCGCGCAGAACTAGCTCCATGGCTTAGCGGAGGAGGCGGTGGTGAGCGGGGGGAAGGGGACTCTTATTTTGTTAGGGGGACCGGGCCGAGGCCCGACCGGCCTGGCAGGGCTCGCCCGGAGTCGGGCGTCATGTCTCATGCGGCTGAGCCAGCTCGGGACGGCGTAGAGACCAGCGCGGAGGGCCCTCGAGCCGTGTTCCTGCTGTTGGAGGAGCGCAGGCCGGCCGACTCGGCCCAGCTGCTCAGGTGCGGGGCCGCCTGGGGCTGGGATTGACGACTGGGGTTCCTGGGGGCCTGATATGGGGGTAGCGAGGGCTCTGCACTGGGGTTGGAAGCCCTAGGCCTAGGTTTGGAGGACGTCGGGGAGCCTGTCTTCAGGGGCACCTAAGGAATCCGGCAGTGGCCTGTGTTGAGACTTAAAGGAGTCGTGGAAGTGCATGAAGAGGGGCTTGGGTCACATTTGAGGGACCCTTGACTGGGTCTAGAGTGCCTGATTCTGGGAGTATCTAGAAACCGGTCTAAGGTAGCTGAATTTGGGGGACTGGGACTATGCTTAGAGGCTGAATTTGGGATCCTTAAGTCAGGCAGGAGGGTAATGAATTTGAGGGGATGCTCTGTCAGGTGAAGCACTGATTTTAAGGGAATCCTGGAATTTTTTTCTCTTAAGTGTGAGAGAAGGGCTCCTGACAGCTTGGTGACCGTGACTCTAAAGTAACTGGTTATGGTGTTGATAACATCAGTCTGAAGGGATTGTTGATACCTCAGATATGCTACCAGAGACCTGCTTGTGAGTGTGAGTGAATGGGCAGAGGAAGAAACATTTAGTAAGACTTGACCAGCCCACCCCAAGCTAGGGCAGATCCCAGGGATAGTAGAAAAGCCTTCTCATACCCCCATAGGGGCTTGAATGGGAGATAGGCCAGCAGGCAGAGAGGATGGAGATGATGTTACCTCTTACCTCACAGAAGGCCTCAGATCTTGTTTGAGAACCTAGAAGAGGGTCTCGTTCCTGCTATCACTTGCCCAAGCTGCTCAGCTAGCCCTGCCCACTTCCTACCCACACATTCTTCTTTTTATCTCACCCCAGTCTCTGGGGGGGTAATCTTGAATCTGTCCCTAGAGCTGGAATGAGTGCAGATTGCACCATCTCTGCCTAGGTGGGTCTGCGCTCTGGCCTCTTCTCATCTTCATCTCCATCAGTAGGCTTTGGAGCTCTAGTGCAGCCCAGAACCCATCTTTTCCAACTTCTGTGCAATGGGTGTGTGAGCATGGGAAGGATTTTTGCCTTCTTTCTGCCTGGGATTGTGCTGAGCTCAGCAGCTCCCGAACTTCCTCTTCCTGAGTTCCTGGGTGGTTTTAGGGCCCCATCTGAGTGTGAGGACAGGAAAACAGATCCTTGGGAAGGGGAGAGAATTCTTATTAAGTGAAGTCACCCACAATCTCTCAGGATTCTAAATCCCTAACTAAATTCAAGGATGCATATTCATCCATGTGTGTTTTAGTCTCCCTTATACATTAGGGTCCTAGGACCCAGCATGGTGGGATGTGCAGGAGCTTTTTTGTATATTGATTCTGCATCTTCTAATTCCTTTATAACAACTTAAATCTTCACAGTATTGGGCATAGTTAAAAGGGAGGGCTTTCAACATGGCTTGTTTTTTTTTTTTTTTTTTGAGATGGAGCCTCAAGCATCCCCCTGGGTAGAGTGCCATGGCATCACAGCTCATAGCAACCTCCAACTCCTGGGCTCAAGCGAGTCTCCTGCCTCAGCCTCCCAAGTAGCTGGGACCACAGGCGCCCGCCACAACGCCTGGCCATTTTTTGGTTGCAGCCATCATTGTTGTTTGGCGGGCCCGGGCTGGGGATTTGAACCCGCCACCTTAGGTGTATGTGGCTGGCGCCTTAGCCGCTTGAGCCACAGGCGCCGAGCCAGCATGGCTTGTTATTTTGTGCGCCAATGGATACTGGGTGTATGTATGTATGTGTTGATCTATCCAAAAAACAGAGGGCTGAGCAGATTCTTCTGGCTAAGAAAAGAATGCTCGTATGAAGCAGATCACCCCCCCCCTCAGTTCTCTCTCTTGTAAATCTAGACCGTTGGAGTGAGGGGAGCCTTTGGTATTTCAATTTTTATATATGGGTGTGTGTTGGCATCTCAAGAACTCTAGCTGGGGCTGGGAAAAACTCCTGAGAAGTAGTAGATCCTTAGGTAAAGTGAAGTGAATCATTGACCCCCAGTTCTCTTTGTGATGCATTCATTTTGTGTTACAATGGACTGTTAGGCTGAGAAACATCCCTACTTAATGTCTTGTGTACACCTAGGTTCACATTCAGCTGTAAAGAAATCAGTAGAGGGTATGGTGGCTGGGGGAACTCTGAATGCAAAGTCAGAAATCCTGTGAAGTAAACTGTTATTTCCAAATTCTTCTGTTTTCCTCAAAGCCAGGCTGTTCTCACAGTGTGGGGGTTGGGATCCAGGCACTTTCACTATTTTCTGAAGGGACTATGGGTAACCCATCATTCAAGAGTAGGAAGGGAAAAGGATGTGAGAATTTATGGTAGTGGTACCTGGCAGGGTGGCCAAATTTGAGTGTTTTTCTCTCTATCTCCCCCCCCCCTTCCTCTCTCTCCTCTCTTTACCTGTCTCTCTTTCTCTGTCTCAAGGGAGGGCTGGGGAATAAGGTCTCCCTGCAATCACTGACCACCATCCCTACCTCTCCCCTACCCTCAGCCTGAACTCTTTGCTTCCGGAATCCGGGATTGTTGCTGACATCGAATTAGAAAACGTTCTTGATCCTGACACCTTCTACGAGCTCAAAAGCCAACCCCTACCCCTACACACAAGGTATGACTCACCTATCTGACTCCCCTCCAGATTCCTCAGCCCTACTCTCCCCTCTCTATGGGCAGAGGCCCTTGATAGCAGCCCAGCCCAGTCCCTCACCAGCCTGCATATTCCAGATATTAAAATTAGGAGCCAGAAAGAGCATGTCACACAGGAAAGCTGGTAGTCAAGCTAAGATTCCAGCATCTCTGACCCAGACCTCCTCCACTTACCCCACCTGCACACCCGTTCATACACAAATATTCCAGCCAGCCAGGAACACCCAGAGATACGTCATGGTCTTCTTAAACTCACAGCCCCCTAGGTAGAGCCATCCCCCCCCATCCCCTGCTCAGCCCCTTCCAACACTACCAAATCACCCATCATGGGCCCTTGGGGAACCCCTGCTGGTCTTTTCTTTCCCCCAGCCTGGAAGTCCAAATGTGCTGAGTCATGGGCCTGGGCTCTAAAGAGAGGGGAGGGGATCTGGAAGAGGGGCAGGAAGAGAGGATTGTGAAATCTCTGAGACTGACTAGCTCCTGGGACCAGAGGCCCAGGCAGGGGAGGAAGAGGGGCCTGGGGCTGCCATTGTAGCCTGACTCCTGCCCCCAGAAACTCAGAGAGCATCACCAGCCTCAAGTTGGGCTTAGGAGCCCTCTGCATCCACATTCTACTGCCACAGCTTCAATTCCATTTCTTCTCGCTTTTAAATAAGATAAGCCTCCTCTCCCAGAGCTGAGCAATGGCATTTCTACTTACCATGTGAACATGCTCAAATCTAGGCATCATCATAAGGTTGGAGGGTTAAAATTCTCTCACCAGACTATGACCTCTAAGTGCTGGGACCAAGTCTGATTCCTCTAACAGACTATGCACCCTGAGGGCTGCCACCGGTCTTGGTTTCTGTGTCTCAGCTTCCACACTGTGGCCTCTGAAGGCAGATGACAGACTTAGTTCCTAGGTCTGCTCTATCACACTGACCCCTTCGGCCCAAGATGAGACATTTAGCTTACCTGTGGCCCCATATTTCCCATTCCACAGCCTCCCAATATCACTGCAGGCCACACCAGCCACCCCAGCTACACTCTCTGCATCGTCTTCTGCAGGGGGCTCCAGGACCCCTACCATGTCGTCATCTTCTTCATCGAGAGTCTTGCTGCGGCAACAGCTGATGCGGGCCCAGGCGCAGGAGCAGGAGAGGCGTGAACGTCGGGAACAGGCCGCTGCAGCTCCCTTTCCAAGTCCTGCACCTGCCTCTCCTGCCATCTCTGTGGTAGGCGTCTCTGCTGGGGGCCACACATTGGGTCGTCCACCTCCTGCTCAGGTGCCCAGAGAAGTGCTTAAGGTAAGAGAGAGGTCCAAAGCCCTTGGGAGGGAGACCTTGGGGACTAAAGAGTTGATCCTAGGATCTAGGGATGGCCTGGGCTTCCTGGCACTTTTGGGGCAAGGTCCTAGGGGCTCTAAGGAATGTCTCTAGTACTGTTTGGTCTGTGCTCATATCCTAAGTGTGTAGGGTTTCTGAGATGTTCTTGTGGAGTTTTAAGAGGTTCTTGGGGCCATCAGGATGTCTTCGTAGACCATGGAGGGCCATGTATGCCTCAAGTGGGTCCTGGCTTTGTAGGAAGAGCTTCCGTGTGTGTGTGTGTGTGTGTGTGTGTGTGTGTGTGTGAGAGAGAGAGAGAGAGAGAGAGAGAGAAGTTAGGAGTTCTTTGGGCATTAGGGCATCTTGAAAAGCCATGTATAGTTCCCAGGTCTGTTAGGTGGTGTTAGAGACTGGGGGGTATCTTGGGGACTGTAATGAGTTTTCTAGAAACTGTGAGGGATTCTATCAGCCATCAGTAGATCTTGGGGGCTATAAAGAATTTCTGAGAAATAGTCCAGGTGATGGGGCTCATGCCTGTAATTCTAGCACTCTGGGAGGCCGAGGCAGGTGGATTGCTTGAGCTTACGAGTTTGAGACCAGCCTTAGCAAAAAAGTAATATACCCCCCCCACCCCTCGTCTCTACTTAAAATAGAAAAACTGGCTTGGCACCTATGGCTCAAGTGACTAAGGTGCCAGCCACATACACCTAAGGTGGCAGGTTCGAATCCAGCCCAGGCCCGCCAAACAACGACAGCTGCAAACCCCCCCCCAAAAAAATAGCCAGGCATTGTGGTGGGTGCCTGTGGTCCCAGCTACTTGGGAGGCAGAGGCAGGGTACTTGCTTGAGCCCAGGAGTTGGAGGTTGCTGTGAGCTGTAATGCCACAACACTCTACCCAAGGGGACAGCTTGAGGCTCTGTCTCAAAAAAAAAAAAATAGAAAAACTGAGGCAAGAGGATCATTTGAGCCTGAGTTGGAGGTTGCCGTTAGCTATGACGCTAAGGCAATCTACCCAGGGCAACAGCTTGAAACTGTTGTCGCCAACAACAACAACAACAAAAAAATTTCTTAGCTGGGAGTTGTGGTGGACGCCTGTAGTCTCAGCTACTGGGGAGGCTGAGGCAGGATAATTGCCTAAGCCCAGGAGTTGGAGGTTGCTGTGAGCTGCAGCACTCTACCAAGGGCAAGAAAAGTGAGACTCTGTCTCTAAAAAAAAAAAAGAAAGAAAGAAAGAAAAAAGAATTTCTGAGAAATGGAGTTTGGGTCCTGGGGGAGACTTACCAGTATTTGGGGGGAGGTTCTCAGATTCTACTGGAGGTTCTCCAGTTGGCCTGCCTGAGTCTAGGGACAGATGAGTTAGGAGAGTCAGGCTAGGGTTCAGAGTCACTCCTTGGAACCTTATTCTACCTTGCCCTTCTCTTTCTTCTTTTATCCCAAAGGTGCAAACCCACCTGGAGAACCCAACACGCTACCATCTACAGCAGGCGCGCCGACAGCAGGTGAAACAGTACCTGTCCACCACACTTGGGCCCAAGCTGGCTTCTCAGGCCCTCACCCCACCTCCGGGCCCCACAAGTGCCCAGCCACTACCTGCCCCTGAGGCTGCCCACGCTACAGGCCCCACAGGCAGTGCTCCCAACAGCCCCATGGCGCTGCTCACCATCGGGTCTAGTTCAGAGAAGGAGGTAAGCAGCTGCCGCCAGCTCTCCCACACTTCCCCCACCCAAAATTTGTCTAACATTGTACAATATTTCCTTCTTCCCCAAGATTGATGATGTCATTGATGAGATCATCAGCCTGGAGTCCAGTTACAATGATGAGATGCTCAGTTATCTGCCCAGAGGCACTACAGGGTTGCAGCTTCCCAGCACAGTGAGTCCTTGATATGGGAGGTTGGTCTGCAAATGAGGCACTCCTCTATCCCTGAGACCACGCCCGTCCTGGCTTGGTTATATGAGAGCCTTGATGTAGATTGTGTTGAGATGGAGAGGGTGGCCTGATGGTGAGAACGGGGCAGGCTAATGCCCTTGGACCTTGTTGGACTGCATTGAGAGGTAGGCCTTGTACACCTTGGGAGATAGGGGATGGGGAGTTCACAGAGATATTAGGGCACACTAAGGGGCTAGGTACTTACTTAGGCTTTGCTGTGTAAATTACCAAGAGGTGGGATCTTCAACTTTTTGGATGTAGCAAGGGAGTTGGGTCATTGGAACATACCCAGACCACGTAGTAATTAGAATATACCAAGTCTCTTGCAGTCAGCCATCCCTATAGAGAGTGGATACATGTAAAAGTTTCTAGAGCAATGGATGTACTATTGTAATGTTCTGGTTCTCAAACATTCCAAGAGTTTCACAATTTGCTTTGAAATATACGTAGTGGGCTCGGCACCTGTGGCTTAAGTGGCTAAGGTGCCAGCCACATACACCTGAGCTGGCAGTTTCAAATCCAGCCCAGGCCTGCCAAACGACAATGATGGTTGCAACCAAAAAAAATAGCCAGGCGTTGTGGCAGGTGCCTGTGGTCCCAGCTACTTG